GCACAACTGGGTTACCGTGCCCCGAAATACGGGTTGTGCTGAGGGATGGAACTTGGCTCTCTGACTGAGCAACAAGGGTTTGATTGTTAATGTGGTTATTGCCTTTTCACTTTATTGTATGCTCATCAATGTTTCAGTGAATCGTAAAACATTTGTATAACCCTACATTTTACAAAACAAAAATCACTTTCGCTTTATTAAAAAATGTTCAGCGTTAAGATATTAGTTGCGGTAAAAGATTTAAGGATTGGCAGTTGCCTTAAGATCGGCCTCCAATTTCTCGACCGGCGTGCTTGGCAACGTTGAATTAACAGACGTACAAAAAGAAGCATTCAAGGGACCGCGGCTCTTGGGAGAAGTTTTAGGGGGTTCCGCTCTTGGCACCGGAGCGCCAAGCAAAAATAGATTGAGGGAGATAAGCTTCAGGGATTCGAGATCTGGTGATCGGCGGCGGAGGAGGCTCTGTTTACGTGAGCCCGCCTATCGCACCTCCCAGCTTGTATCTCGGCATTCATGATGCAGCGAATAGCCGGCAAGAGGGGTATATGTCCCAGCGTTAAAGTCGACTACTAACTAAAACATGGGATGGTGGAGACTTTCGTGATCTGTGCTATGGCCGCCTTGGGAGAATATAATGCACGGGGACTCGGGACGCACAAATGAGAAAGAGTTCGGATGACATGCATATCTGGTCTAACGAGATTGATCACTTCTCAATAACCTTACTTGAGGAGCGACTTGCCCGAACTAGAAGGTGAGACTAAAAGAAGCAGGAATGTGAACGATAATGGCAGGATAGGATTCTGTAGGGTTACTGATAATTACAAAGAGGACAGCGCGAAATAGGCTACATGAATAAGATATCTTGGACGACTATGCGATTCGTCAGATGACCAATGGACCTTGGCAAAGTCCCTCGAATCACTTTGAGGTACAGCAAGTGAATACGTGCTTAGCGGCGAGCAAAGAACGGGCAAACCCGATTAGTCAAAGATGTCGGGCGATTGTCGCTCCCGGGGAGATAAGAGGAGTTCTAGATATGCCAACCCCATTGCTTTAAGAGGGCAGACAGCGGAATCGCATTCTTGAGTAAGGTTCCACCAATCAAATCGAGTGTTTGAGAATCGCGTTCTAGAAAATGCGATAGGAGATACCCAAACGGCACGGAAAGACTAAAGTGGTAGATGTTTCATCTCTCTGCCAAAGTCAATAAATAGAGACTATCCTAAGTTCGTCATTAGCGACCAGATAATGATTGTCTATCCCTACCTCCGTCCAGGACTGTCGAGATGTCACACTGTTTATGTCCTAATGTAACCTCAAAATTTCTAATACAAATAGTTCTGGCAAAAGTAGCATTATAGATGAAACATATCGATCTTGGCAATGGATCATAGATTTGGGTATTTCAGCACTATACGGTATCGAGAGCTTCAGTGAGTCCCCGAAATAGGAAGGTATTAAAAAAAAGGCAACTAGATAATCACTATCCCCGAAGGATACTGGTTGTATCTCGGTAGAATCAACCGAAGGATCGTGCACCCCAGCTCTGATCTACTTGCAGACCATAATGGTAAGCTTTGCCAATATGCTACAGATTCTTGGCTGTTACTTTTAGGCAGCTGTAAGACCACATATCTGTTAGGTGAGAGTGCAGTTATACTCAAAATGTCGTCTCATCAAGTGTCTTGGGACTATAGCCTGCAACTATACAAAAAGACGTGCTGCTTAATGTTTCAGAACTCTTGCCTAATCTGCCCGCTTACTATAAGTGATTGCCCGGGTGTTATTGATGAGCCTCCCACCATCTCCTTCCCCTTCAACAGGATATGATCTATGGACAGTCGTTGAGGTGATGTAGAAATGAATAACAGGTGATACCTTAGTAAATCTACTTCTTATGTAAAATTCAGAACCAAAGACGCGTACTTCAAAATACTTCCGATAACTAATTGTGCTATATATCTCACTCCAGCCCTCACGCAAGTCATAAAGGTCACGAACTCAGATGGCGAGAGCAGCAGCACCTCCTAAAGCTGCTGCTAGCCATTTTGCTGTTGCCATGGCTGCTGCTCCAGCGCTACTCGAGGTACTTGATGGTGCTGGTGTGGTAGTTGCGGAGAAGGCGGTCAGTTTCTCCACACCTGCAGTTATGGTAATGGGATACCAGGTCGCATTGTATGAACTTTCCGTAGCAGAGTATTCGTAGGTACTTCCTGGTACTATACTGTAGGTATCTGTGACTGATGGCTGAGTCTGCATCGACAGCTCAGTGGGAGTGGGTATTGGATCTAGAGTTAGAGAAACGTTATAGTATTCTATGGATGATGGCATAATCTGGACTAAGAGCTCGGTGGCGGTGACTATTGGATCCAGAGTCTTGGAAAAGGTATAGTTTGCAGTGAACCTCCTATGTTGCGCATAATGAGTATCATAATCTGAAAGCAAAGTCTAACACGACCCCAACAATAAAGAAAATCTTGCTCACAAACTGCCTCCCAATTGACCCTCCCCAGTTGTACTTGAGCCCCAGTGCATAGACGTTGAACCTTGGGTGAAGGTTCCAAATTTGAGGTCTGTCGAACACTCAGCTATAGCTTCATGAGTTGTTGACGTGAAGTTATAGGTCTGAGTGAGGGTTGCGTTGGGTTTACAGCCAATAGCATAGGTAGTAGCTGTTGCATCCTGGTGATAGATTTAGCATCGAGCTCAGAAAGGGATTCGGCAGACTTACAATGCCAACGATAGATGCGGCCAGATAGCCTGCTATATTACCAGCGCCATTCACTCTAGTGGGCAGGGCCCACAAAGGATTGATAAGATTGACAATTTCTTCGGCACGTGCAATCGAGAAGAAGAGAGTTGTAAAAAGGGACCGAACAACCATTTTGGAATTGCTAATTAGACTCTACTTAGAGTTAGAGTTATCTGGTTGTTCCGGTGAGGAGCTGGAAATGCAATAGAAAGACGCATAGCAATATTAAATACAGAGATACTTATATGCAAAACAGTCTCAACATGCGGGAATGATTGATGTCTTCACTAGATTCAGGAGCTTTTGCTGTATTGGAGGTATCGTGGGGTAAATGTGGCGGAGCAGGGTTGCTGCAACGCCGCAAGACCCCAGGAGAGCTGGGAGTGTGCCCTATAAGTGCACTCTTTGGGAAAATCGCGCTTGACGATGCTATCACCTTATCGTCTATTAGCAATCTGCATCACGATTTGGATGATTCTTTGCAGAAACAGACCTCCTCCCTTGATGTTGAAGAGGAATGATTGGGTAAATGATACGATAGGGCATCGAGAAAGACTTGGCGCCAAGCCATAGTCTGATGGCTTCCCTATAGGCTCCCTAAAGACAGGCAGCTTGGGCGTTCAACCTCGCTATAAGTTTTGTATCGATATTGATCTCACAACTGTTCAATCGGATGATGGATCATTGTATGAGCCCAATCATAGCTTTAGTTTTATGCTACCATAACAGGCTAATAAGCATCTCTATTGAGGATTGTTCTTTTTATTTAAAGCCAGCATAGCTAGAAAATACAAAATAGTAGCCTTAGACATGTTCTGTTGTATCTGTTTAGCTAGCATGGCCGGGCAAGCAGTCTGCTTGCTCGGTTAGGATGAAGCTTAATACAAGCAATATCCACGAATGAGGAATTTATTGAGCGCTTCATCTATCTGGTGGAAGTTCCTACTAGACTGTCCAATGATACGGTCATATTGCATAGGGTGGGATTGAATATTGGGAGTGGATGTGGCGGAGCATTATGAACACCACTCAACCACGGTGCCTAACCATATTCTGCACAAGTGAGAGAACACTACATAGGGGATAACGAATAAAGACAACCGAAAGGGTAGGGATACTGACTCTCCGTACCATGCAGCGATCCTAAAAGTGTATGGTTTGTGCTGACCAGAACTTCTAGAAGAGAGAGAAAGAGCTTGCACAGCCCCCCCGTCATTCCCAGTAGCAGCATACGACAATGGGACAATTACCATGTGATCTGTTTATGAGAGACGCTGACTCGATAGCACCATCACATTCCAACAATCTCCTTTAACTCAGTCGTAAACATCAGAGCACATCTCTGCTGACGTTCCCTCTAGGATTGCATCGTTTTTGTACCAGGAAAGATTGCTATCTTGATGTATACCGGCACTATATGTCTAAATAATGTCGGACCATCAATAAACTAGGTGATTCTACAACAAAGTATAAACTTAACCCGGCTGCCCTAATAACGGAAAGAGCCGCACAATCAGAGGCATATGCACAGATTTGTTCGCAAATAATGACAAATCCAGTCAATCACATTTCCGGTCTATGCGTGGTCCAAACTGCTACATGGTATATCATACTAGGTTCTTAGCCTATCCTCCCCCTAAGCAGTCGATTCTTTGCTTGTCCCAATGTCACTAACGCAGCTTCTTTCTTTCATAATGCTTCAGTTACTGTACTTATTCTCTTTACAGCAAGCAACATCCAGGCTCAAGACAGTAATGTTGTGGAGCATTTACTTTGAAGGTCTTTAATTATATACCTTCAAAAACACTGGATACCACAGCCTCAACAATGCAATCTCCACAATCTGAATCTCTTAAAATTAAGGTTAAACTTTCTTAAACCCGTTTACCTTAACTAACAGCTTAACTTCGTGTAATTTATTATGCTTTCCTTATAACTTAATGCGACAAGCTTGTATAAATTATTTAGCCAGCGTGTTTACACTTCAAATTTACAATACAAAGAGACAACTTTAAATTAATATAAATATTCTTGCTTCTTGATACACAACCAACGCCGAAACATTAGATATATTCAATAGCAAAGAGGCGAAAAGCATACGTGACTGCCACCCAAGCCCCTTCCATCATTAAAAAAAAAGATTTTGCTTCCATTCTGCTAAAATAAAGCACCGCAAGACCAAACATTTCGCCGCCTCTCGTACTACAGATGAAGTATATAAAAAGCCCCAAAAAGAGGCAAAAAATTCCGTACCAGGGAGTCGAACCCTGCGCTACCGCGCACAATCATCAGGAATGAGAGGCGGAAATGTTACCGATACACCAGTACGGATTTTTGAAACTCTGATCAGGAGGCGAGCTATCTTGATTGATATCGTGAATATTGAAAAGTGGGGGGATAAGCGAGCATCATGTGAATGAAATAGGGGCTGTTGGTGGACCATCGGATACGGGGAGCCTTGGGATGTGGGTTGTGCGGGCCGTAATTGCTAGGAATTTGTACCGGAGAAATACTGGACAATTTATTTGAAAAAAAATGCGGTAAGACAAGGCGTTAAGTGTTTGTTGAACGTTATATCGGAGCGTTATTTAGTTTAAAAGATTTTGGAAACTCGAATGGCGCTATTTGCACCTTGAAGCTTCTGGTTTCGGTAAGGTGCTTTTCATGTTAGACCGGAGTATTGGCTCCAGGCTGAGGTCGCTATGGGTAGCTAGTCGAGAGCAAGTTTGAAATATTGTAATCGACTGTGGCACATGGAATCTACATTTCTATAAGTTCTTTGACTCTTCATGGGAACGCGATACGGATATCCCGCCAAAGTTTTTGAAAACTGCTGGTATAACAATGATTATATTAAGATCCTAAAATTTGATTGCTTGAGTACTGGCGCTTATCAAACCCATCCACCGCTTACATCCTTCATCCATGGAGACGCTTCTTTCTCTCCCGTCTTTCTAATTCCCCTCCAGACAGCGAGCTCTAGCGTTTCCGCGAGCACACAGCCGTCATCTCTTCCGCTCATCTGCTTTCTCTCTTTCTCTTCTGGTCTCCCCATTTTGCAGAAGCAATCTTCTCAGAAGACACATGGGCCGAGCTATTGAGGACCAGTCCGCGACGTTGCTCCTCTCGCATGACACCAGAGATGCCAGCGGTCCCTAGAGTTGTCCTCAACGCGCGGACTTGCTACGAGTCATCACCCAGCAATATCCAGGTCTCTGTTTCGGATACCGGGGAGTTTACGTGTGGTGTGGGAGTGATAAAGGTCCAGTCCTCCGCTGTTTCAAAAGGTGACGATAATGATGAAGGCAGAAAATGAGAATGTGAATTGAACGCCAACTCCGATTTCAGTGTGGGCGGTAAGGACTGTCGGATATCCGAATTGTTATTGCCGTTTATTGCGTTGTTTTTGGTGTTTATTGTTTTGAGCTTGAGTGATGGGGAGTGACGATGTTGAATCGTTGATTGTGACTTGGTATGGGAAAGATATCGCGCGATATCGGCATCATTGCTCAGATCCGACAGCGATAGAAAGAGCTGCAACTTGCGCAGGCGACTATGCCTGTTTCTTCGACCCGGACGAACGACAAAAGCCGGGGCTTGCTCAATGGGCACATCCGTCTTGACATCATTCTCCTCATGTGTGCGCTCCCCATCGTACAGAATCCCCAATCGAAAGAGCTCCTAGCAGGTGCGTAAGCATTCATCTGCCTAGCCTACTCTACTCCAACGCCACCAATGATAGAAAGGAGGAATCAACACCTTCAAAGAAATGTTGAAATTGAAGCCGATGCTAGGAGTACCCATAGTCGATATCTCCAAAGAGATCGACGAGGACTCGCTTCATGGGCTCGATAAGACTCACATCGTCATCAGCGCTTTCGCCGCCGAACATGCGCAGCAGCTCCTCCTCCTCCTCCTTCTGCATCCTCTCTACTTCAGCAAGGGCTTCAGCTAGAGCCTTCTCCTCAGCCTCACGAGCTTTCCAGCGGGCCCAGCTCTGATCGAAGGTTTGCCGGAGGATGGGCGACACTTTGTTGTCTGATGGTAGATAGATGTTCGAGTCGTGTGCATCAGCGATGTCTTGGTAGAAGTCAGCTTGGGTGAATGATCTGCGTGAAATCGTGCGTCGAGTTCTAATGTGAGTTAGAATTAGTTTGTTATGTCGAATATTCTGTGGATAAGACTTACCGACTGCCGGGCCGTTCACGACGTCTGTTCTGGCGATGGTGCGGAATCACGCCTGTGTTAAGGCCATTGAGTAGCACCATGATATCCGACTCTTGAGTCCTTTTTTTGTTTCTCTTTTCTTTCTGAAAGGTTTAGAAGGACCAAAAATTCCAACAGGACGAGGAAATAGTAGGGTTGCAAAGTATGAACTCCGAAACTCGAGAAAGTGCATACCTAATATATAGCAGATATCATAGAGTCATTACCTACCTTTCTCCTCTCTGTGACTCGAACTAAGCCGTACTACAAACCCGTTCGAGCAAACCCAGTCGTCATGTGTGTGGCATGGCTGCCTCTTCGTGATAGGCTACACCCTCCCCCATACATTGTTTATGACTCACAAGACCCCTGTCTTGGGCCGTGGCGCAGGCGCGAAGTCGTCAGGCCGAGACAAGGCGGAGGGAGGGTCCGGAGTAGGGTTTCGGGATAGATCTGGTGAGTAATGGGGAAAGTATTTGTGTTTTGGCTGTAGGAAGCCTTGATGCCTTTGGTGGTTGTTAGCCTAGAAGTTGACGATGGGGTGACGGAGAGGTGTGGCGAAGCGAGCGGCGTTTTTCGCTAGGTTGAAATGCCTCGTACCTCTGTATTTTCAAAGATGGATTTTGGTAAACTGAAAGCATTTGAGGGAGAGAAGAATTCTTGAGTTCATAAAGAAAATTGAGCACGAGACTATCAGGAAGGCTATGCAAGGCCATTCCATTTGAGAACACGCCACGAAGAGGTTTTGTGTTGAATATATCACGTGATGACACACAACCCGTCTACCTCGGACAAAAGACAAAGGCCATTATCACGAGCGCCTCCAGTTGTGAGAAAGGCGAAATAAGTATGAGTCTTCGCTCACAGATTATGTGAACTCCGGAGTGTAAGAAGCGTAGGGACTGCGGTTGTTTGCTCCAGGTTGCCGTATGCTTACAACAAGTCATCGCCAGCTGGTACTGCCTGCCAGGAGCCTAATCGCATTACAGAAATGCCTAAACTACAATTGCTCAAATATAGAGTATTAGAATATTTTGCATTGCTGGCTGATCTTGCCATTCCCTAGTTTAAAATCAGGTACCCAGCTTCGGGTCTCTCTTCTGTTGCTCCCACTCGGTTCGTTGAGTCATACGAGAGGCAAATTTTCTTGAAGGCGAATATTATGTTCACAATTCCGTTAGAAGAAAATAAACAGAAATATTTAAAAGTAAGCATCGGACAATCTCTGTTCCAGCCAAGTGCTCATGATCTCGGCTGAAGGCCGTATGAAAGTGATGCAGCACTAGCTGGTAGAGTATTAACCGTATTCAAAACTTGCTTACAAAGATACTCAGTGAAGTTTAGGACGACCGCAAATGGTTCCTGCACAATAACCCTTGGTAAGCGACATACGACATTTATCCTTCAGGAAGGTCGCAGTTTGATATCCTGGGGTGCCTATTTTAGCAGCAGAGATGAAATTTCATCCTATAACATCTTATGGACATGAAGACTTTTGCGTTATGAAAATCTTTTTATCCTAGGCAGCAGTATCAATGACCAAGATTGGACCTTGAAAGAAGTAGCATGATCACATCCAGTAGTGTCATGGACTTTTTTGGTTCTCTAGGCAATTTGGTATTCATGCTCAAATCCAATGTAGCAGGCAGGCAAAGTTGCAAAGCAGCAACTTTGCACGCCCAGTGAGTACAGGAAAAAAAAACCTAGTTTTAAATCCCATTGAGGACGGTTCATAACGGCTTTGTGACACGGATAAGGTATGCTGTTGAGATTTTTTTGGCTTCAGCACAGCACAGGCTCAAGAAATTATTTTTGGATAACGCGACAATCCATTGATAAGGTGGTGGGAAGTGCATTTCATGTTGGACACATAGCGTACCCAAACACTTGAGATGGGCTTACTCAAGATAATCCCACTAATTCATGACATGGAGAGTGAAATTTCAAGGGCTGGTATATGACGTAAACAACCACCAGAAAATTTCATGGATTCCCGTGGTCGCACGAGATGAAGGGGAAACGGGTGTCGCTTTCGGTGCTGGTATGTGCGTACGTGTGAGCTTGTGCACAGCGCTTGTGTTTGAAGGTTATCAGTAAACTCGACTGAATGACAGGACAGTCAATACTTTAATGTAAGAATGGTAGCACACTCGCATGATAAGGTCCGATTCCGGTATCGTCTTGTACGCTCGAACAAGTAAAATGCCATGTTTGATATTTGGCAAACTTGAAAGGCAGGACTGGACTACCAAAGCGTGCCACTTTCGTTAGGCTGGAAATCTATGGCGGTGACCGTGAGAATCATGCCAAGGCTGAAGGGATGAAATTGATGAAATGCATCTTAAATTTTCAATTAGTTTTATTGAATAAAGGACGTAGACAGAAGATGCATGCTTCAGAACTTTATACTAGTTGCATCTAGTAGTCGAACTGGATCTGAAGGAATGCTTGCGCGATGGAGACGACCAAGATATTTAGAGCCTGAGGCCACTGTTGATAAAAGTTGTATATCGTTAATATTTTAGTTGTAGACGGCGGAGCAGATGTGGAAAGCCTCCATGATGCCGAGATTTTTGGTACTTTCTACAAAGCGATTAAGGGTTTCTGAGCGACAAACGTACCTTGACCATAAATGTCGCGTAAAAAGAAAGTTTATCATGACATAAATTAGTATGAAATTTGGGAGAAGTGTGGAATCTGGTACATCCATTGTTCCTCCCAACGTTCCAAACATGGCTGGACTTGCCTAATGGGAATCAAAGTTTGGCGTCTGTTGTGAGTAACAAGATTAAGCTTCCCCCAAAGGAAAATTTCACTTCGAATACACGTTAACTTTTCGTTGTATTCAAGGACCGAAGGCTCTAAGGAGCAATTGCAAGATTGAGGGAACAACTGTCAGACAAGGTGCAGCACACCAATGCTGGGAACTTGGCCTGGCATATTATAGCCCGTAAGTGCAATATATACTCATTCTTAGATAAACAGAGAATATGTCTCATCCTTTCCAAAAGCGTTTGCTAATATAAGCCATATGGTTACGATTAATCGCGGCCAAAGGCGTCAGAAGCATTCGCGATCATAGATAGGATGATTTTGACTAGGAGAAGTCACGACCACTTTGATTA